AAGGTATTATTTCATGAAACTCTTATTTCTTGTGAACACACACACATAAACACACATACACACACAAACATATACACACACATGTATACGGAGTTGTGAAATAAAATTTTACCAAAAGTTTTAGCATCGAGTGCCATCAAAAATATTTGATCCTGGGGTGCCTGGGTGGCTCAGTCAGTTGGGTGTCTGCCTCTTAATTTTGGCTCAAGTCATGATCCCAGGGTCATGGGATGGACCCCACACTGGGCTCTGCACGGAGCATGGAGCCTGCTTAAGATTCTCTGTCTCTTTCCCTCTGCCCCTCTCCCCCACTTTCTCTCTCTCTCTCAAATAAAGTAAATAAATAAATAAATTGAATCTAAAAAAACTAAAAAATTTTTTGACCCTAAGAGACCCCATTTAGCATTTGGACCATAGATATGACACCAGAAGGAACAAATGGTTTTGGATCCTCTGTTAGTGAGTTGGCATATTAATGTGTTTTTTAAAATTGTGATAAAATATACATAACATAAACAGATTAGTTAATTAATTAATTTTTGAGAAAGAGTTAGTGGGGGAGGGCAGAGACAGAGCCAGTCACAGGATCCAGAGCAGGCTCTGTGCTGATAGCAGCGAGCCTGATGCGGGCTTGAGCTCACAAGCTGTGAGATCATGATCTGAGCCAAAGTCCAACACTCAACTGACTGAGCCACCCAGGTTCCCCCAAAAAGATTAATGTTTTTATTTATTTATTTAAAAAAAAATTTTTTTTTCAACGTTTATTTATTTTTGGGACAGAGAGAGACGGAGCATGAACAGGGGAGGGGCAGAGAGAGAGGGAGACACAGAATCGGAAACAGGCTCCAGGCTCTGAGCCTGACGCGGGGCTCGAACTCACGGACTGTGAGATCGTGACCTGGCTGAAGCTGGACGCTTAACCGACTGCGCCACCCAGGCGCCCTAAGATTAATGTTTTTAAATGTAAGGAACAAAGTACTAAAACGAAGAACCTCCCACCTCCAATTTGCATCCTCTTGTACCTTTGGGTTTATGATGACTTTCCCCCTCCTCTACTCACCTTTTTTTTTTTTTTTCTTCCTAGGTTCATGGTCTATAACTAAGGTAAGAGGTGTACATTTTGACTTTGATCTTATGGGACAAGCAGCCAAAATTCCCTCTTACTGCATCTGTGCCTGAGTTAGAGAGGAGAATGTGTCTACATGCAATTGTACATTTCTGTTAAAAATAGGTTATTAAAAACAGTTAAACAGAAAGATTAACTAGAATCTACATAGGCATATAATTTGGAGCAGGATTTAGAGAACTACAGGTATGTCCTAGTGGGCACATCAAAGCCTTATGTATCTTTTCAGATCTGGACATTTCGCTGTCATAGACCCCAGGTTGCTTTTATTTTTGCTTGTATTTAACATTTGCATCCTTGTTATCTGTCTTTTAAGTATAAATTCTGTTTCCCCATTTGTCTTCTGTGTCCCCTGTCTTTTCAGAGGTATAGATTTGCTTCATATCTGCTTATGAGTCTTTGCCTGACACACAACACTACTACAGTAAATGTTAATAATAATGGCAATTAATTACCTTTTCTTCTCAGCCATTACCAATGAGTCTTTTTTTTCCTGTAATCAGGATATTGAAAGCCGTTAAAGACAACTTTCCTTTTCTTAAGTAATAGTTGCTTAGAACTTTCCCATTTCCAGGCTTTTCCCCACTCTGGCCACATTTTCTCAAGTGGCTTGGGCTCTGAACTAGCTGCACATTATATCTGTATAACCGTGTGGTTTAAGGAACTTTCCTACTTTTTAATTCACTGGCGAAGGAAATAAAAGGGTGTTATCTCCATGTGGCCAATGGGGAAACTGATACATGGAGCCATTAAACCCATGTTTCTACACCACAATCGGTAACAGCTCTGAGACCAGTTGCTGACTTCTAGGCTGGGATGCCTTTTCACTATGTCAGTGGCTTTTCTGGCTTGTTTTTTTCCTGCAATTTCTTCACCAAATAGCAAGACTTCTGCTTTCATCTCCAGGTGAAGAAAAAAGGGAGAGGGAGAGAATTTTATAGCTGATGACTCCTGTACCCTTTTCTCCACCAGTAATTCCCCTGATGTGGCTGTCAGGTATTTCTGTAGACTAGGGTCTTTTAACATTGGCATGCCACAGGCTCCTTGTCACTTCAGAATCTTTGCGCAAATCATTCTCCTAGGCTGAAAGCCTCATTTCTTCCTCTTCATTGACCTAAAATCCTACACTAGTCTGCAGACATCTTCCATGTTACTTTTCTGCCTGACTCTGCTCCATCCCACCCAGGCTGACCCACCAACGCTGACCAAAGTCTATCATGTGCCAGTTTACTGTGTGTTTTTAGGAGCTTGCGCCTGCCGTATCTCATTTAAACACACAGAAACTCTGCAAGGCAGGTATTTTAATCCCATTTTCAGTAAGCATGACTAAGAGAGATGAATTTTGTCTGAATGACCCATCTGTATGGCAGGGCAAACATTTAATTACCTAACACCTGCTCTTCTTATAGTCCTGTGAAATATCCTCTTCCCATTTAAAGCCCCAGGCCCGTCTCCCATTCCTTAGCTCAGCATGGCATATAAGCCGCAATTGTCCAGGATGGAGGAAAAAATTTTCCTTTCCCCAAACTGCAAGAATTTCAGTTCTAAGGTCTCTTACGTCTGAAGAAGATTGGACCTTGAATAATAGCCATTTCAGTTAGGCCAGATAGTTTAAATAAAGATGATGAAAAGCTGATGTCATTGAAAGCATCCAAATTATTGGGTCTCCAGAAGTGGGAGCTAATGTTGTGTAATAATGGCAACCACAATGACAACAATGAAAATCAGATTAAAAAAATAAGATGTTGGACCATTTGTATGGAATACCAAACAAAGCAAACTTGCCTCTCAGTGGGTATAGATTCTGCAACAAAGCAAGACAAATTTATATTCATCTACTTGAAATTGCAGAGGAGGGAGAGCCTGCAAAGCTTCTAGGGAGAAAGGGGTAGTAAAGGGAATTTAATTCCATAGTGTCCATTGTTGCTAATAAAAGATATGAAATTAAAAATATAATTGACATACTGTTTAAAGTGGTGTCCTCTTGGTTGTTTCATTTTAGTGACTGTAAATTCTTTCAGGTTACCTTTAAAAAATTTTTTTTTCATTATGGTAAGTGTACTTTTTAATTCCCATTCCCTATTTCTCCCATCCCCCCTCTGACTCCCCTTTGGTCACCATTAGTTTGTTCTCTATAGTTAAGAGTCTGTTTCTTGGTTTGTCTTTTTTTTTCTTTTCTCATTCATTTTATTTCTTAAATTCCACATATGAGTGAGGTCAGATGGTATTTGTCTTTCTTTGACTTATTTTGCTTAGCATTATCATCTCTAGCTATATCCATGTCATTGCAAATAGCAAGATTTTATTATTTTTTATGGCCAAATAATATTCCATTTTATCTGTACACCACGTCTTCTTTATCCATTCATCTATGGATGGACGCTTGAACTCCTTGCATAGTTTGGCTATATAAAATAGAGGTGCATGTATCCCTTTGATTTTGTGTGTGTGTGTGTGTGTGTGTGTGGTAACCACCAGCAGTGCTATTACTGGCCCCAGGGTAGTTCTATTTTTAAATTTTGAGGAAACTCCATACTGTTTTCCACAGTTGCTGTACCAGTGAATGTAAAATTTTTAATTTGGATTTTCGTAGGTTCCTCCTAACCTTGGTCTCCTTAGCCCGTTTGTCCATGTGGCTGTAAGATTTTCACCTCGATTCTAGCCATGTTTGTTAAGATCCCACAGGGCAAGGAAAGGGAGAAGGGACTCAGCCGGCCCATTGTCGGAATTTCAAGGCGGCCCCTCCACAGCTAATTCCTATCCGTCCCATTCCTCGATTTCACTTTTTCCTGCGTAGACCCTCTAAAATGCAGCTATGTTTCTGCTTATAAGATTTAAAAACATTCCTCCCTGGGGCGAGATTTTAAAGAACGGGGGGCAAAGGGAAGGGGGCGGTGCGCAAACCTCGTGGTACTTCCTGAAATTTAGCGCAGAATTGGGGGAAGAGCCGGAGCCCAAGCCAGGAAACGGATTTGCATTTTAAAGGATTGTTCATTGTCCCTCAGGGCTCGGACCTGGAAAGCGCTTTATCTATGACCCTTTTATGGCCCTGCCCGTTTTCTCGCTTTGTACCTGTTTGTAAACTTGTCCAATCTTCTTGCCTGGACCGACTAGAGGCGGGGAGCGGGTGTGATTGTTGGAAAGAGTTTAAAAAGTGACAAGAACCCTATTTTGCACCCTATTGCACAACCTTATAATAACAATAATGGCAGTGAACATTAAAGGTCATCTACAATTATGCCCCCCTAATAAATGACTTGTTTCTGCTTTCCTTTTCATTCCCTCATGCATTAAACATTATGCAAAGCACTGTGCCTGTCTTGGTCCACGTGCATTTTTTACACATCCTAAATACAAACTTGCATTCTGCTTTTAATTCTTTTTCCTTTTTGCTTATCCTAAGCACTTCTGAGGCTGCAAAATATATACTCACAATATGTCTTTATTGGCTACCTAATATTCCAACTAGGGCATACACTTTAAGGAATTATTTCAGTGTTAAGTATCCAAGATGTAAAAGTAAACGCCAACACCATCACCCTTTGTACTGCAAGGCCTGGAGGTCGGTCAAGGTTAGACGGAGGGCTCCGGGTATCAAGGCTGCGGCCCGGGACGCGGCGGAAGGCGGCGAGGAGGAAGCCAGTGCTGGTTCCACGGCTCCTCCCGGCACCTGCAGGCTTGGCGCCTTTTCTCTCCGACCACGCCCCAACCCGCTCCTCCCCGCCCCTCCGCGCACACTAGTCGAGCGCCCTTGTCCCAGTGCGTGCTCACGGCTCGCCCAAGGCAGTCCATTTCCAGGGCACCTCTGGGGTGTACGTGAGGCAGGAAGTGACGCAAAGCCTGTGGGGGTCGGAAGAGGGCGGGGCCAGGTTATAAACAGCCGGTTGGGGGCGTACATCCCCCACAGAGCCTCAGCTTTGACCTGTAGCGGCTCGGGCGGTAGCGGCCGGAGGGGGAGACTGTGTGAGTGACGCGCCGATGCTAGAATCTCGCCGACCCTCCCTGGCCTCCCCTCAGCCTGCTGGGCGGGTGCGAGCGGTCTCCGGTGCGGGCCCCCTTGGTGCTGTCCAGCTGCATTGGGGGACCGCAGGGGGCGCGGGGAGGCTTGCGGAGACTTCGGGAGGAGAGGGCGGGATGGAGCGGGGCCCGCGTGCGGGACTGGAAGGGGCCGCCGCGGCGCGGGGAGCGGGCTGCAGGTGCAGCGAGGTGGAGCCGCGGTGCGGAGAAGGGCTGCCCTTCTCTGCCTTTCTGCGCCCTTCTCGTGTCGCCGGGCGGCGAATGGTTTCTCCGTTAAGGCACTGAAGGCGGGATGAGGGGTACCCGGCTGTCGCTCTGCGCCCCGCCATTCTGCTTCCGGCCGTTCCTCAGGCCACCCCGATCCCTTGTCCTCACTAGCTCGTCCTTAAAAGATACAGGACCTCGTGGGACAGCCATAGGCCGCGGGCGCGGGAGTGCGAGCCACGCTGCCGCAGCGTAGACTGGCTCTGCTGGGAGCACGTGGCTACTCCGGGAAGTTTCCCCAAAGAACTGCTGTCGGGGTGCGCGGGTGACCTTGAGCTTGTAGCCCTACGCTCTCTCGGCGCCTACCCTGATCGTGGTCTCACTGCTCAAAGTGACAGAGCTGTCCTCCACTCGGTTACGAGTGTGCCCTGGGAATTTGATGTGAGCTTCTGTAAGCCGTGCGTTTGAACTCCGGCACAACCTGATCTTTCAGCGATGCCGTTGGCTTTGTGTGTGGGTTCTCAGTTTTCCCTAGGCAGAAGCTGTTTGAATGCCGCAGGTGCTGACTCGAAGAATATTCCGATTGCTCTCCTTGTTATAAGATGGGAGATTCAGAAATAAGACTTCTACTTTGTGAAAGCTATGGTCTAGAGGCCAAGTGAAAGCTGTTTAGATTAGAATTGGCTTTCCCTTTCAGGAAATTAGCAGTATGGTTAAAGGGCTTGCTATATTGACAAATGTCTTAGACGCCCATTGTGTCACTTTCTAGTGGATAGCTTTCTAATGTAGTGGGTAGGGTGAGTAAGGAAATATTTTGTGACTTGACTTTTTTCGGTTAACATTTTTTCCTCTGTTTGTAGCGACCTTGGGTAAAGCAGGGAACTTAATTGTTTCTGCTTTCTCCCTTTTTTGGGGGGTGGGGTGAGAGGATTGAAGTAGGAAGTAGTTGTCCTCTTACAAAAGTACATGGATACCTGATATCTTTATTCCAGGCTTAGATAGGAGTTGGAATACTAGATGCTGATTCAGTTGCCTCTGAGCTAGGGAGTTTGACCTTACTGACAAAGACGTTTAAGGTGATTTCCAGAAGTTGTTGTCTACTGCAAAATTCAAGTTTAGTCTATTTAAAATACTTCTTGGCTCTTCTTTTTTCTGTTTTGGATTATCATAAATTTAGTATACTTCACAAGATCTAGAACTTAAAACGTTTTGTCATCGATATGAAATATTTTCCAAAAATCGACTTACAGCATAGCACCTTTTAACTTTTCTTTGATAGAATATGGACTGTTTTTGTGAAGTAATGGTTGTGAACTTAGCCTGTACTGAAGATTGTTGGGTAGAGACAACAACTCCGCTAACCCTGCCCTAGGTTGTGGCAGTTATTTGCCTCTGATAACGTACTTAACTATAGTGGAGCAAGGTGCCCGGCGAAACTTGAATCAGACAACAACAAAAGCTAGTTAAAAATGATCCTCTGAGGCCTTTTGGAACCCTTCTCTGGATGTGCCATTTGTCTGCTGTCTCAGATGAGCACTGTACAGGTAGACTGAATTGGACAATCTTTTTACAGAAAGCTGAATAGAAATGAAGATTCTCCTTGTTTTCCTCCATGGGGTTTCATTTTAGACCCTTAAAGCTAGGAAAGAGCTTGACCATCCTGGGTAGACACAATTATTATATGTGTCCTGGGGGCCCTGAAGAAGTTTTGTAGGTTCATGTCATCTTTTCATTTCTCCTGCAAATGCATAGGGAAACAATTTGTGAAACAGGTATCCATAACCAATTGCTTAAGATCTTGGAGCCCCACCAGGTAACCTTTTAAGTTTTTCTACCTTTTTTTAAAATTTGTTTGTTTACTTATTTTGAGAGAGAGAGCAGGGGAGGGGCAGAGAGAGAGGGAGAGAGAGAGAATTCCATGCTGTCATCACAGAGCCCAATGCAGGACTCGAACTCATGAACCATAAGATCAGGACCTGAACCAAAACCGAGTTGGATGCTTAACCGACTGAGCCACCCAGGTGCCCGTGAAGTTTTTCTACTTAAAAAAAAAAAATTTTTTTTAATGTTTATTTTTGAGAGAGACAGAGACAGAATGCGAGTGGGTTATGGCAGAGAGAGAGGGAGACACAGAATCCGAAGCAGGCTCCAGGCTCCATGCTGTCAGCACAGGGCCCCACGCGGGGCTCGAACTCACGATCTGTGAGATCATGACCTGAGCTGAAGTCGGACGCTCAACCGACTGAGCCACGCAGGCGCCCCTGAAGTTTTTCTCCTTTTTAAAATCTCCCTACTATCCATGCTTTGTCCTGTGATTCCAGAATAAACCAGAGTAGTGGCAGAGATGGGAGATGATTCCAGTTCCAAGTGCAAGGTTTTCATTGTATTCTTTTTTATGTAATTTCCAAATGATATGAGAAATGAACTTTACATACATTTAAATATGTCCCCATACTGTTGAGAAAATATCTTTCTTTGTTAATTATTCTTTGTATATTCCCTATCAAGTATAGGGTAGGGAAGTCAATCAGAGAAGGCTTCATAAAGATGTTCCCTGAGCTGAGTCAAGAAGAAAGGAAGGATGAGTAGAACAAAGGAAGGATGTTAGTAGAGGCAGGGACTGAATTCTGTCTCATTTTGGAGATAGTAGAGGGCAGCATTTAGTAGGTAGTGAAGTTCTCTAGAACAGAGAGCCTTAAAAGCAAGTAGAGGAACTTTGTTTCATGTGTGCTGCAAGGACTTGAGGCTGTGGCGCATTTTCCAAATGGAAGTAGGCTTGTCAGTAATAAACAAGTGACTCATTCTTATATCAGGTAAAATGGAGTAACAGTTTTGGGTATGTTATACATAGATGACCATGTATTTTGGTGCAAAGATCCCCCCACCCTCAGCTGTATGTATTGTGTACAGACTCCTGGTCTTAAGACACCCCAAAGTAGCTTAAGACCTCAAGGTATTTACTGTATTTAAAAAAATTAAATAGAAATTAATGCCACGTTTGAAGAAAGTAGGAATAAGATGATAGGAATTATAAAGAAGTTTAGAACTGAATTATGAAGAAGTTTAGGACTGTAGTCTAGCTTGTACCTTCGCCTGCCTCCTGTCTTCCATCCCATGGCTCAATTAAAAGACATTTCAGAAAGAAAAAAAAAAGACTCAGTTACTCCTTCCATTTCATGTTCAAAACATACACGGCTCTGTTTTGTTTACTTTAATTTTCATTATTAATGTGAGAAACTGAATACGTTTTCAAGTTATCATTGAGAGCACCAAAGATACACAAGGTGCTAATATGTACAAAAATCCAGTTGGTGTTTGGTTTGTCTCTTGTTATGGATTATCAGCAATGGTGGTGACATCGTGAAATAAGCTGTAATAAAAGATGTTTGGCTTTTAGATGCCATCTTTTAACAGAACTATGTAACTATAAACAGAACTGTTTATAGACAGTGATTATAACTGGTAGGAAAAGTTTCTCTGATGCTTCTAGAGTACATAAATTAGAGTGATTTCAGTTCAAAGAAAATTCAGTAAGGGGTTCTTTTCAATACAAAGCTTTATCATTTATGAAGTCATTTTGAAAGAATGACTCAATTTTTTTGTATATAAAACTTCAGGAGTAACTTTTGTAGATATCCTAGAATTACCGTGTTATTCATAGATGCGGGGTTAAATTATGAAGTTAAAATGGGAATTGCCTAAGTCACAATTTTTTCCTCTGACTTGATTTCTTTTATGTTATAGTCTTCATTTTGTGTCTGGATATTGAAATAGAAATAACATACTGGTGTTCTCAGTAAAAACTGTACTTAGATTTTAATTATACAAAATCATAATTACATGTTCTATTAATATCTGTTTATGCAGAATTGCAATCAACTCAATCTCATCATTTATTTAAATCCTTTATTTAGATCATTTATTTAAAAGTGTTGTCACTTTAATCTCAAAATTAATTTAAAACTGGAAACCTTGAGGAATGGCTGGTTCAGATCAGCATTAAACTTGTAAACTGGTTTTTCCTAGAAAAGGGTGATTAAAATTGGTTCAGGGTGGGGTCTTCTAGTTCTGGTTCTAGTGATTGGGTTTGTAGGGTTCTGGTGCAGTGATAATGGTAAACTTTTTGTACCAGATAGGGCAAGAGACTTTGCTTCTAAGAATATGATCTTGCTTCTTGGCTCTGGTAGTTAAAGCTTGGGGATTAAATTTTTGTTGTTGTTAATAGGTTTTGATAGGAGACTTTTCTAATGCCAGCTTATGTAATGTCTTTTATTTTATAGTCTGTGTATATCTCAGTTTGCTTTGTGACATGTGCATGTTAAATGCTCTGTTAAGTGTACTTGTAGTGTAGGAAAAGCCTTAAAATAGTATGAAATAAATGACCATTTTATATATCTCAACATAATATCGCTTTAAAACATTTAGAGGCACTCAAATCAAATTAATTAGAAAATCTGGATTTCACTAAATACCAGTGCTTTAACTTAACATAGAACTCTGTTGGTTATAGAAGTGTTTTTCACCTTTAAAATGGGTGTTAAGTTGCCTGGCTGGCTCAGTTGGTAGAGCATGTGACTCTTGATCTCTGGGTTGTAAGTTCAAGCCCCATGTTGGGTGTAGAGATTATTTGAAAATAAAAAAATCTTTTAGCAGTGCCTGGGTGGCTCAGTCGGTTGAGCATCCAACTCTTGATTTCGGTTCAGGCCTTGATCCCAGGGTCGTGGGATTGAGCCCTGTGTCTCTGTGCTGAGTGTGGAGCCTGCTTGGGATTCTCTCTGTCTTCCCTCTGCACCTTCCCCTGTTTGGGATTCTCTCTCTCCCTCTCTTCCCTCTATCCCTCCCCCACTCTCTTTCTTTTCTCTTTCTCTCAAATAAAAAAATTTTTAAATCTTTAAAAAATAATAAAATGGCTGTCATTTATTTATTTATTTTTATTTTTTTTTTTATTTATGGATAGTTGACATACAATATATAGTTTTAGGTACACAACATAGTGATTTGAAGGTTAAGATTAATTTCTTAAATTTCTGGAGATGAGAACAGAGTTTTTATAACTCAGTAACCCATTGAACTTCAGTTTTTGGAATATCAGTTTTCAGCCTTGAACAAGACACTGAACATCTCAGATGGTTGGCTTCTTTGTGTGTAAAACGGCATGGTGTGTTTTTCTTTTGTCTATTCGTTTTGCATCAGAGATCTATCAAATCATTTGTAAGAACTGTTCCTTTAATCAGAAGGATCATGTTTTCTCTCCTTTTATATTGAAGATGGTTTGTTACAGGTCTTTTTAGCATGACCAGTCTTGACTTAATTCTACTTTGGGTTTTTTTTTCCCCCCAGGTGCTAGTCTGTTGTATTTGTCCCTTTGACTACTAAATTCAGTTACTTAAATTTACCTACCATGGTAGGTAGAACCATGGTAGGAGAACTTGAAATAATAGTACAGTATATATCCATATTCATGTACCCTTTATTCCGATTCATCAATTATTAACAGTTACCACATTTGCTTTACTTCTTATACACTTTTTTAAAAATTTTTTTTAACGTTTATTCATTTTTTAAGATACAGAGACAAAGCATGAGCAGGGGCAGGGGCGGAGAGAGAAGGAGACACAGAATCCGAAGCAGGCTTCAGGCTCTGAGCTGTCAGCACAGAGCCCAATGTGGGGCTCGAACTCGCAAACTGTGAGATCATGACCTGAGCCGATGTCGGACGTTTAACCGACTGAGCCACCCAGGCGCCCCAATTTCTTATACGCTTTTAAAGTAATTTATTAATTTATTTTTAGTCTATTTTGAGAGAGGAAGTGAGCAGGGGAGGGACAGAGAGGGAGAATCCCAAGCAGGCTTGCACCATGAGTGCAGAACCCAGTGTGGGGCTCAAACTCATGAAATCCAGAGTGGGATGTTTAACCGACTGAGCCACCTACGTGCCTCTAGGTGCCCCTCTTAGACCCCCTTTTTTTTCAGACCATTTTTTTTAAACTAAACTATTTGAAAGTAAGTTATAAGTGTTAGGATACTTCATCCTTTTTTTTTTTTTTTTTAAGTTTTCCAATTTTTTTTTTTAGTAATCTCTACACCCAACATATGGCTTGAACTCATGACCCTGAGATCAAGAGTTACATGCTCTTCCAATGGAGCCAGCCAGGTGCCCCAATACTAAATTCTTAAATTCTTCAGCATTAATCTCCTAAGAACAAGGGCATTCTTTTCCAAAAACAGAATAAATCATCACACTCTCCAAATTAATATAATCAAATCGAATATATCACACTCTCCAGATCTAATCTGATACAATACGGTTATCCACTATGTAGTCTGTATTCAGATTTCTTATTTTTCCCAATAATATCCTTTGTAGTTGTTCTCACCTCCACCCCACTTCAACTCAGGATCTAATCAAGGATTATATTAAATTTAGTTTTCCTATGAACTAAATGTCTTTATTAAAGACCCTTTCTGGGAATGCGATAATATATTTAAAAGTAAACTTGATATATAATAATTTAGCGTGGTAATGAAAACCTCTTATAACTGGTACAATGGTATCTATTTTGTATTAAATTTCTGTTTTAATACTAGGTTCTTTTGTGTGGCAGCTCAGAATGATGGATCAAGCCAGATCAGCATTCTCTACCTTGGTAAGATATTTTAAGTTTTATTATTCCTTGTCACCAGTTTGTGAGAATATGAAATATAGAAGAATGGCTCTTACCCAATAAGCGTGAAGTAATATTCAAAGCTATCATAAAGTATTTTTTTATGTTGAAGTGGTGGCTTGGCGATATAACTCCTCCCACAAAGGGTATCTTCAGTCTTGTGTGGAGTTCACTATGGGAAATCTTGTAAGAAAATACAGGGTATTTCAAGTATGGTAGGAGGGGGACAGCCACATTGATAAGATGAACAAAGAAAGCTGATCAAAATGTATATGTTAGTAGACATGTAACAGAAACCCTGAATGAAAAGGCTGAATGAGATGAAAAAGGCCAGTGTGTGATCTAGCCCCCATCTACCATTGACAGAACTAGGTATCAGGAAGAATGTTGCTTTGAAAGAGGAACTTCTTTTTCCTTAAGAATATATAGCAAGTCATAGTAATGGTCCACTACTAAGTATAGTACCTAACCAAACTTTTGGTAAATGTTCCTCTTCCCTTTCTTCTCTTTCATGATGCTTTCTTTCTCTCTTTTCTTCAAATCTCAGTTTGGTGGAGAACCATTGTCCTATACCCGGTTTAGTCTGGCTCGGCAAGTAGATGGTGACAACAGTCATGTGGAGATGAAACTAGCTGCAGATGAAGAAGAAAATGTTGACAATAACATGAGGGATAATGGTGCCAGTGTCACGAAACCAAAAAGGTTTAATGGATTTATCTGCTATGGGACTATCGCTATAATCCTCTTTTTCTTGATTGGTAAGAGTGGCTATTCAAAACTTAAATGTTCCTTGGGAGTGACTCCAGGAAATCTGTTAATTCAGCCAAGCAAACATTTATTTTGTGCCCTTTTATGTGCCATTATGCTAGGCACTAGGAATACAACAACAATGACTAAGATTCTATGCCTGCCTTTGAGTTTGGCCTGGTGGAAGAAGAGAGACACATGAATCATTTCATTGTAATGTGCAAATGTTATACTAGAAATACACACAGGATATCTGTAGCATAGAAGCTTGGCCTAAGGATTTAAAGAAGGCTTCTGGGAAGAAAAGTTACCTATATTTTAAAAAGGTAACTATTTAGGGGCACCTCGCTGGCTCAGTCAGTAGAGCATGTGACTCTTGATCTTGGGGCCAAGAGTTCAAGCCCCAGGTTGGGTATAGAGATTACTTAAATAAATAAACTTCAACACAATTAAAAGGCAAGTATTTAAAGTTACTATAAAGTTGACTCTTGAACAACATGGACTTGAACTGTGTGGGTCCACTTATATGCAGATTTTTTAAAATACGTATGTATATATTTAATTTATTTTGAGAGAGAGCGAGAGTGAGTGGGGGGCAGGGCAAAGAGAGGAGAGAGAGAATCCCAAGCAGGCTCTGCACTGCCAGCGCAGAGCCAGATGGAGGGCTTGAACCCACGAACCGTGAGATCATGACCTGAGATGAAACCAAGAGTCGGACGCTTGACTGACTGAGCCACCCAGGTGCCCCTCAATAAATATATTGGAAAAGTTTTTGGAGATTTGTGACAATTTGAGAAACTTGCACACCAACTGTGTAGTGTAGAAATACTGAAAAAGATAAGAAAAAGACAGATATTGTAAGAATATGGCACATAACATATATAACATACAAATATGTGTTAATCAACTCTTTATGTTACCATAAGGCTTCCAGTCAACTGTAGGTTATTAGTAGTTAACGTTTTTGGAGAGTCAAAAGTTACATGCAGATTTTCTACTGTGTGGGGGTATACACCCCTAACCCCTGCATCGTTCAAGAGTCAACTGTATGATTTATTAGATTGAATGGTTTAAAATATAAAAAAATTGAGATTCATTATTTACTTTCCTACTGCTTACAATTTGATTAAAGCCAGTATTTTCAAGGCTTAGCTGAAAATATTAACAGTTCCTATAGGAATATATTGTCAGTTCTGAAACTTTTTATCCATAGGATTTATGATTGGCTACTTGGGCTATTGTAAACGTGTAGAAGCAAAGTCTGAATGTGAGAGACCAGCAGGAACAGAGTCTCTGGAGGTAGAGGGAACTGAACCTTCAGAAACAGAAGAGTACTTTCCTGAAGCACCTTCTCACTTATTTTGGTCGGACCTCAAAACAATGCTGTCAGAGAAGCTGAGTAACACAGAGTTCACCAGCACCATCAGGTAAACTTGAGCTACTTCACAAATTTAATCTCAGTCCCTAACAAATACTGATTATTCAGAGCAGTGAAACAAAACAAACATGACAGTCTGGAGGAAAGAGTTCTTACAGTAGGGGAGACTTCCCGTGTTTAGCTGGAGGGTAAAGAATTAGTAAAGAATTCAAACTTGTTGGATGGGGAAAAAATTTTTGTGAGGACACTCCTTTTTCTTTAAAAAATTCAGAGGTCTTTGATCTTTTTGTCATCTGGTCTTTTAAGCTTGTTGCCTGCTGTCAGACTTTCTTTGCTTTGATTTTCATCTCAACCCCTTGTAAGGCACGCTGAGTTTTGCTACCATCAACAAGGGCATCAGTAGCCTTTTTTATTCTTTAGATCAGGACTAACTTGACTGCCCGACTTGATATAGAGATGTATCATGTCTCTAGTATTCGTGATTTCTTCTGGTTCTCATTAATCCATATAGCCTTAGAAGTGTCCTTAAGGTTTCTGTCCTTCGATTTTGAAGACCTTCCTTAGACACATACATAACCCTGTGTAAAGAACGTATTCGTCGTTTACCTATTAGCTGGCTTCCAGTAGTTTCAGTGGTACAATGATTCTCTTAGTCTTAGATGAGGAATTTTGGCATTTTTACTTCATCTAATGAATACTTTTGTATATACCGTATACCAGGCATTATGGATAACGTAAGAGTGTAGTCTACCGAACAAAAATCAAATAACTAATATGATGTATATATATTTACAGTGAGACATAGGAGATCAGAACAAGGAGTAGTTTTGCTTCAAAGGTGAAAATTAAAGCTGTACATCTTGAGTTCACCAACAGTAATACTTTGATTTTGCTTACTCATTTCCCCTAAAATTACCCTAAGCACATATATGTGTTAAGATGGGGCTCTTGATGGAGTACTATACATTGGATTCAGAGGTTGGATAAAGCTGAAGTCATAAATTCCTTTAAATATTGGGCATAGTTTTTTTTCTTCTAAGTTTGTCTCTAGTCAACCTTGAAATTTGGGGTCATAGTTAACTTAGCTATGATGAATAGTATTGAGTTATTTTAAAACAATTTTCTTGATATTTGAGTTCATTGTTTATTTTAAATTAAATTTTAGTTCATGTAACAGTGACTTTTTTTCCTCTAGGCAGCTGAATGAAAATTCATATTTCCCTCGTGAGGCTGGATCTCAAAAAGATGAAAGCCTTGCCTTTTTCATTGAGAACCGATTCCGTGAGCTTCAACTTAGCAAAGCCTGGCATGATGAACATTTTGTTAAGGTTCAGGTCAAAGGCAGGTATGTTGAAAGATGGTAAACTTATTTTCTAGAAGTAGCTATTTTCAGGTGTGCTAATACAGCAAAGACTTTCAGAATAAATAATGCAAATCAGATGCTAAATGTACTAAAGCCATTTTTTTCCCAAGGCTGTCCTTAGCTTCAGCTTCATTTTAACTTAATCTTTTTTTGCCAGTGCTTCAAACTCAGTGACCATAGTGGGCACGAACAGTGGCATGGTATACCTGGTGGAGAGTCCAGAGGGCTATGTGGCATACAGTAAAGCAGCGACAGTTACTGTAAGTAAGGCGAAACGGTGCATGAGATGGTCTTCCCTGTTGAAGATCTCAGAAACTCATTGTCGTTACCTTTCTTAGGAATTTTGGTATAAATTTATTTTTTAAAATGTAACTGATCGTGAGATATTCTTATTCTCAGCCATCCTATGCCACAGTGAAAGTAAAATCCTAGGTCTTCTTTCAGGACAGCAAGGCTCTAAGTAATCCTACTGCTCTCTTCCTCTTGCACTCTGCTGGCCACTCCAACCTCCCCGGTGTTCCTAAACCACTCAAATGCAGGCATGCTTCCACCTCAAGGCTTTTATAAAACTCCCTTTCCTTCTGCGGGCCCACTCTTCCCCTGACTACCAATATGGTCTGTTCCCTCCTTTTGTGCAAGTGTCTTTTCCAGTGTTACCTCCTTAGGGAAGTCTTCCTTGATTATCTTGTTAAAAATGGCCCTCCTCCAATCACTTCCCTTTATCCGCTTTATTTTTCTTACTGGTACTTAACACCCCTGACATTACTCATTTGTTTCCACACTAGAATGAAAGCTACATGCAGGGCTAGAGGTTGGCTTCATGTACTGCTGTGTCATAGAGCCTTGGACAGTGCCTGACAGATGGTGTTTGTTGAGCGAATGCGTGTATCAAGATCTAACTTTATGGGAGCGCCTGGGTGGCTCAGTCGGTTAAGTGGCCGACTTCGGCTCAGGTCATGATCTCACGGTCTGTGAGTTCAAGCCCTGCGTCGGGCTCTGTGCTGACAGCTCAGAGCCTGGAGCCTGTTTCAGATTCTGTGTCTCCCTCTCTCTGACCCTCCCCTGTTCATGCTGTGTCTCTCCCTGTCTCAAAAATAAATAATAAAAATGTTTAAAAAAAAATTTTTTTTTTAAATAAAAAAATGATTCCACTTTATGTGGGGACAGATATAATATAAGTAACCATCTTGGCTGGAGTCCAGTCTTAGCTTGAATCTTTAATTTAGGCAAATATGGCCAAACTACTGCAGAAATTTAAAAAACAGTTGATAGATCTACCTAGGTTTTTCAGGTGTTAAAAAACAAATGTTAGTATGTCAGGGGTCAATTTATTGGATGCCTTTCAAGCCAGATGAAGTTTTACCTGTGCTATATCACTTTCCCTGACTACCTATAACCTAGGGGTTTGGAGGCGGGTACACTGTTCTGTCAGAAACATTGAAGGTTTTAGTTCACCTGCAAGCTTTCTATATTTAGGTTATTTGGTTGTCAGGATCAGTTTATATAGCTCTATTAATAGTTTAGGAATATTATGAGACAGCTTTTATAAACATCTAAAAATTGATCTATGCAAGACACTTTATTGTGATAGATAGTGTTTAACAATTTTCATACAGATTTCTTATCAGAACTTTCCGTTAAGACCTATTTTAATGTATGTCCTCAATTATCTAGCATTCAAGTGTTAGGAACTTTATGTAATTGGTGCAGCCAGGGCTAGCCTACAGTATTTATATTGGTATATGTCTCTTTGTTTATCATATCCTGTTAGACTTTCTCTCCCCACACAATATTGGAAGCAATGTAAAAGAGATTAAATGTCAAGAGCAATGCAAATTAGATTCAAGGCAGCATGTGATGATGTAAGATGTGACTATAGGAGGCCAGAGTCTTGATTCACTCCTAATAACTGACTAGTTTGACTAGAATTCTTACATCCTTTTAGGCTTTGGCCTCCTTTTATCTCTGTTTTCTCTATTGGGTTTGATCTGTAAAACTATCCTCTCTCAGACTCTATGGCTGTTCTAATACTGTAATGCTCATTAAATCTCATGTTTTTATTCTAGGGTAGACTGGTCCATGCTAATTTTGGCACTAAAAAAGACTTTGAGAATTTAAACTCTCCTGTGAATGGATCTTTAGTGATTGTTAGAGCAGGGAAAATCACTTTTGCTGAAAAGGTGAGTATAAGTTGTTAAATACACTGGTATCATACTATTCTTCCTTTAAGTGGTATCATTGATTATTTTTTTTTCACATTCTGGAAACCATCAGTCTTAAACTCTCATACCTAATAATATACTTGAATTTATTTTATATTTACTTATTTTTTAATGTTTATTTAATTTTGAGAGAAAGAGAGACAGAGCTCAAGCAGGGAGGAGCAGAGAGAGAGAGGGAGACACAGAATCAGAAGCCAGCTCCAGGCTCTAAGCTGTCAGCACAGAGCCCAGTGCAGGGCTCGAACTCACGGACTAGGAGATTATGACCTGAGCCGAAGTGGGACGCTTAACTTACTGAGCCACCTAGGCACCCCTAAACTTGAATTTATTAAAGTATTCAACAAATCAAATAAGTTCTAATTATCTAAACTGTAGGATACTTCCAGAACTATGGCATAGCCACTTGGAGTATTCTGTAGTCATTGTCTTTCGGTGACAATGAGGTAATCAGAAATGCTTCAGTGAAAGCAGTTTAAATTTAAAATAACAATATTCTGTTGTTACATAGAATTGCTAAATCATTGTTAAATTAAGGTGCTTTGTTAAGTTCTATATAACCAAATTTTATGTATATATGGAATATATATATATAACTTTTTTGAAAAAGAAAATTGAAAGTCAAACCTACGTAATAAGGGCCTAGAATGGAACATACTAAAAGACAGTGGTTGTGTTAGATGGGTTTTTATTATTTCTCTTATCTTTGAAACTCTCTTAATGAGTTAGTTAAGGGAAGTATTTTTTCTCAACATGTAAGCTATTTGCAACATTTGGGAGTTTCAGTGCAGTCCTCTGTAACCTTTTGTCTTAGCATAAAGCCCAACACTGTTCTTCTAACTTTGTGATTACATCTTCACTTCTGACCTTTACATGTTTTTCTTTAGGTTGCAAATGCTGAAAGCTTCAATGCAATTGGTGTCTTGATATACATGGACCAGGCTAAATTTCCCATTACTAATGCAGAGATTCCATTCTTTGGACATGTGAGTTCTTATTTCTTACGTAAATGGGTTTTTGGGTTCTACAAATTGTTGCTGGATTCCATCTGCATTAGTAGAAGTGTAACATGCCTTCCTTATTAAATACTCTTTTTTTTTTTTTTTTCTGGGAGGGTCTTAGCAGTAACAAGAAAATGGATTATGGGACTTTGAGACCTAGTTATTATTGCTAACATTACCTTTTCAATAGTGTCTTGAATTGAGGTTTGGCATATGCCGTTGCCATATAAAAACAAGAGTCACATATTTTAGAGCCACTCAGACCTTCATGGTTTGAGTTGCTAAACTAAATGTAGGCTATACCCTCATACTGAGTCTGAATCTTCTAAGGATTTCTTGAATAAATGTCTGACAGAGCACATTACTTTTTTGTTTAACTAGGCCCATCTGGGAACAGGTGACCCATATACACCTGGATTCCCTTCTTTCAATCATACTCAGTTTCCACCATCGCAGTCATCAGGATTGCCGAATATACCTGTCCAAACAATCTCCAGAGCCACTGCAGAAAAGTTGTTTGGGTAAGTTCTTACTTGAAAATTGTCTTTTTTGAAAACTGGTTTTATGAGTAGAAAGGAATAATAATCTCCTTAAGTTAATTTGATAACATTTTATTATTATTATTTTTTTAAAGTTATTTTGTTGGGTGCCTGGGTGGCTCAGTCAGTTGAGCATCCGACTTCGGCTCAGGTTATGATCTCTGGGTCTGTGAGTTGGAGCCCTGCGTTGGGCTCTGTGCTGACAGCTCAGAGCCTGGAGCCTGCTTCTGATTCTGTGTCTCCCCCTCTCTCTGCCCCTCCACCACTCATACTCTGTCTGTCTCTCTCAAAAACTAAATAAACATTAAAAAAAAAAAAAAAAGGTTACTTTGTTCTTGAGAGAGAGAGTGCGCATGAGCAGGGGAGGGGCAGAGAGAGAGAGGGAGAGATAGAGAATCCCAAGCAGGCTCCACCCTGTCAGCACAAAACATGACGTAGGGTTTGAACTCACAAACCATGAGATCATAACCTGAGCCAAAATCAAGAGTCAGACGCTTAAAAGTCTCCTCAATTTGATAGCATTTTAGATAATTGGCTGTAGTTTTCCATATTTGGCATCTCGTGGGGTGGATAGCTCTTACGCTGGTGTAGATAAACATGAAGTTTTTCCTCCATAAAGTGATATTAATAATTAGACATTGGATTTACAAACTCTGCAAGTCCTTGTTCAATTTACCCAGTGAATTCCTTGTGTACTATTCCTGGCATAGCTTCTCCTTGAGGACTTCCTGAGGTAAAGCACTTTGTTGCCCTTGGCAACCTATTCAGTTATTGGAAAAGAGCTGTTAGAATTCATGTTGAACTGAAATCTTATTCCCTGTAACACCGATTAGTTCTAGATTTTCTTCTTAGCAACAACAGTTCAAGTTTTCTTGTCTATAATGGAATATCTTCAGTTCTCATGACAGTTTCCAGATGCTTTACAGTCATGATTAGTCCTGGATATCCTCCCTAATGTATTAGTATCTGTCTTTAAAAATAGAACCCCGTCTGATTAGAGTACATGTCATTAGTTTTTATCTTGATCTAGACATACTTCCCACCTGGTATTGGTATAGAATGTAGATCTGGTCTCAGACACTTAGATTTTCTGTGTGATGTAGAACAAGTTATTCTAACCCCACTGATCATGTTTCTTTCACTTAATTGGATAGCTAAAATATAATCTACTTAGCAGGGTGACTGATTTCAAATGAAGAGCATTTACATGTAAGGACACATGTGTAACACCATGTGACTATTAACCATGCTATCTACGAGCATTTTTTTTTTTAAATTTATTTACTTATTTAGAGTAGTGCTCATGCGCAGGGAGGGGCAGAGAGAGAGGGAGAGAGAGAATCCCAGGTGGGCTCCATGCTATTAGCGTAGAGGCCGACATAGGGCTCCATCCCACAAACAATAAGATGACCTGAGCAGAGATCAAGAGTCGGACGCTTAATCGACTGAGCCACCCAGGCATCTCATAAAGCATTTTAAAAGTGGTGATTTTTTTATTGACTTATACCAAACTTCAAATCAGATCATTCTTACCTCCACCTACAGGTCTTCCCTAACCTGTGAAGCCAGCTCCCTTCCCTGTCTTATCCTTGTGTAGTGTGGGGTAATCATGTTTTGACATTTATGTAAATAGAGCAGTCATTGTTTGGGTAACATGAGGAATTAGACAGGGGAAGATACGTAACTATCAGCAGCATGAAAATATTCTTTTATAATTATGATAAGAATGTATAGGGGCGCCTGGGTGGCTCAGTCAGTTAAGTTCCGGCTTCAGCTCAGGTTATGATCTCGCGGTTCGTGAGCTCGAGCCCCACGTCGGGCTCTGTGCTGACAGCTCAGAGCCTGGAGCCTGCTTCAGATTCTGCATCTCCTCCTCTCTCTCTGCCCCTCCCCTGCTCATGTTCTGTCTCTATCTCTCAAGAATAAATTAAAAAAAAAAAAAAAGAATGTATACTAGTTAGTGTAAAGAGTCAGGAAACATGGGAATATACTCACGGGTTTTTATGTCAGAACTTCATTCTGAGTCCATCTTGGTATCTACTTCACATGTAAATGATAGCTGTGTCTCTGGCAGAAAGGCACATTTCAGATGAGGATAGGTACAGAAATTTTTTTAAAACATTGTTTAAACCAGGAGATAGATAACTGATGATTTTCAGATGATTGCCTACAGATCGGAGTAAGACACAAATGGTTAGCCACCAGGGAGTAAATTTTGTATATGTTTTCTTTATATGTCCTCTTAGCCTAAAACTTCACTGGAGAGTAAGGAAGATTGATTCTGTAAACCTGAGGGAAGCCATAATAATCAGAACTCTAATGTCTGTTTTCTACTTCTAGAAATATGGAAGGAGACTGTCCTTCTGCTTGGGAAACAGACTCCTCCTGTAGGCTGGAAACCTCACGGAACTGGAATGTGAAGCTCACTGTGAACAACGTGCTGAAAGAGATAAGAATTTTTAACGTGTTTGGAGTTATTAAAGGTTTTGAAGAACCTGGTAAAGACCCTTGGTTTTTTGTTTTGTTTTTTTTCTTTTGTTTGTTAGTTTGTTTCTGTTTTCCTAGTTCATAAGAATGGGGCCAGAAGAGAGAGTGCAGGAAGGCTGGCTTTGGCTTGGTTTTGTGGAGTGCTCTGGTCTGTCCTACAGTGAACTGTTTAGGTGTCAGTTTTATTGGGAGGTAATAAGGCCCTAGGAAATTAATTTGTCAAAAATTGACCACTGTGACTAGAGAATCTCTTTCAAGTTATTGAATATGTCATCAGTAAGCAAACTACTTCTTAAGGGGGCAGATAAACACTTTGCAGGATATACAGTCTCTGTTGCAACTACGTATTTAACTCTGACTAGCTGACTATGCTGACGCTGACGTTGTAGCATGGAAACAGCTGTAACCAGTACATAATGAATGGGCATGTGGGCTGTGGTTTATTGATTGGTCCTTGAAATATGCAGTCTATCTATTTAAGTAGAATCTAATAGTCACGTAATTTAGTAAGGAAAGCCCTTGGACTTTGGTTGCTTATTAACCAATTAAGTAGAAGTAGTCAATACAATCTATCTAAGTAGAATCTAAGAGTCATGTCATTTAGTAAGGAAAGCCCTTGGACTTGGTCGCTGATTAAACAATTAAGTAGTACAAATTAGTAGTCGATAAGTAAACTTAACTGGTAGTGTGGAAAAGAGTAATACTAACAAGGAAAAAGAGATTAGTATTGTCATGTAAATTTTTAATTCCTAGAGTCCTAAGTCAGCTATGAAGAAAGGTTCTCTTATCCTTAATGCATATATTGCATTTTTATCCTTCTTATAAACATGCTGATTCTAGAGTTTAAAGCTCAGTATTAAAAACAGTTTAAAAGCTGATTGTGTAATTTATCTTTTTTTTTTTTTTTTTTTTTTTTTTTAAAGATCGCTATGTTGTAGTAGGGGCTCAGAGGGATGCCTGGGGTCCTGGAGCTGCAAAGTCTAGCGTAGGAACAGCTCTCCTCTTGGAACTTGCACGGATACTCTCTGATATGGTCTTAAAAGGTAGAGTACAAATTGTGAGGACCCTTGAATATCTATTTGCTATATATAGTTCTAAATACTATATGCTTTCTCACTTTGGCCCATATTATTGTGGTTCACTTGTGCTGGACTCTGAGTTTGAGCACAAAAGCAGATCATTTTTGTTGGATCTGCCTTTGACTTTGAAACAGCTTTCCATGCAGTGTCTTTGCACTGGGAATCAACTTTGATGAGACACTCAAAAATTGTTGTACTGGACCCTAGCTCTTAGTCTGACATATTCAGAATGACATGGCTAATCTAGCGTGGTCCCTAAGAAATCTATTTTATTTTATTTTATTTTTTAATTTTTTTTTTCTTCAACGTTTATTTATTTTTGGGACCGAGAGAGACAGAGCATGAACGGGGGAGGGGCAGAGAGAGAGGGAGACACAGAATCGGAAACAGGCTCCAGGCTCTGAGCCATCAGCCCAGAGCCTGATGCGGGGCTCGAACTCACGGACCCCGAGATCATGACCTGGCTGAAGTCGGACGCTTAACCGACTGCGCCACCCAGGCACCCCAAGAAATCTATTTTAAAGCAAGCAGTGGCAGACCTCTGTACTAAGTTTCTATAATTTTGGTATAAAATTATAATATGTAACTTGATGTGTTATGTTTATAGACATAATACTGGATACGTTTTTATATATTTATAATATATAAACACTTTCAAGCCTTTCTCCCTTGGTATTTGCCACTCCTCTACACACACCCACACACACATACAAACCCCTATCACATTCTTGAATCCTTGGGCCGTGGGTAAGTTGCAGTGCTTATTAACTTTTGTGGAAAAGTACATAATACAGAAAAATGCATACCCAGGAAAAGGGGAGGTTTGGAGGGGAGCTGTCATTAATGTAATTTCTCTGTAAACTTTTTCATAACTTAAATTTGTAAGTATTTACTCTGTTTGGTAACAATTGTAAAGTAACCCTATGTTTTCAGTGACTGACTTCTATGCAGATTCTTTTCAGAGAAGAGACACATTGTAGTTACACTGCGATTTCAAGTATCTCTTGGTGCAGAATTTTAGGGGGGCTCAAAGAATGGAGTTGAAACAAAAGTGACTTCCTGTAAAAACTGGTTTCTACTATGTGTTTGAAATCTTATTTGCAAATGTTCTCTTCTTCTTTTTTTGTAGATTACCTTTAAAATTTATTCTTATTTTTTTTTTGTTCTTTCACCTGGGGCCTCAAAAGGGAAAGAAATATTTTTGAATCTGCTGTCTTGAGTTAGAAATTTCTGATTTCCTCTGAAGTCAGTTGCCTACCTATAACCTTTCCCAAGATAAAATTAACTTTTTTGCTATCTTTTAGGTGGCTTTAAACCGAGCAGAAGCATTGTCTTTGCCAGCTGGAGTGCTGGAGACTTCGGAGCTGTTGGTGCCACTGAATGGCTAGAGGTATTATTTGTATAACACTCATACCCAGAATGGGCACCTGAACTTGCCCTTGGCTTCATTTGTCCTCCAGAAACCAGACTTTTAGATTTGATTACAGTTGATCCTGAACAAAACAGGTTTGAACTGTGCAGGTCCACTTATAGTGGATTTTTTTTTTTTTTTAATAAATGCAGACTAGTCCTTTAAAAAAGTGTAGTAATGGCCCTCTAAATGCATTTTCTCGGGCGCCTGGGTGGCGCAGTCGGTTAAGCGTCCGACTTCAACCAGGTCACGATCTCGCGGTCTGTGAGTTCGAGCCCCGCATCGGGCTCTGGGCTGATGGCTCAGAGCCTGGAGCCTGTTTCCGATTCTGTGTCTCCCTCTCTCTCTGCCCCTCCCCCGTTCATGCTCTGTCTCTCTCTGTCCCAAAAATAAATAAAAAACGTTGAAAAAAAAATAAATAAATGCATTTTCTCTTATGATTTTTTTAACATTTTCTTTTCTCTAGGTTACTTTATTGTAAGTACAATATGTAATACATATACAAAATATGTGTTATCTATTTATGTTATTAGTAAGGCTTATGGTCAACAATAAGCTATTAGTAGGACAGTTTTCAGGAGTTCAGAAGTTACATGTGGATTTTCAAGTGCATAGTGGGGGTGGTCATCATCCCTAACCTCCCACGTTAGGGAAGTCAACTGTATATCATTTTTGCCTTTGTATATTTAGTGTTAATAGACTCTAAATTTAAAAAGAAGTCCCTAATAATAGCTACTCTATGTGACAGGTTAATACATATTAGTCCATTTAGTATTTTTCCATCTCTTTTAGGGATACCTTTCCTCCTTGCATTTAAAGGCTTTCACTTACATTAATCTGGACAAAGCTGTTCTTGGTAAGTATCCTTTTCATCAGCTTAATGAATTCAGATAAACTATTTACAAAACAGAAGAAAGCTGGGGCAAGCGAGTGGCTCAGTTGATTAAGCGTCCAACTTTTGATTTCGGCTCAGGTCATGATCTCATGGTTTCTGAGTTTAAGCCCCAAGTCAGGCTCCACACTGGCTGTGCAGAGCCTGCTTGAGATTCTCTCTCCCTCTGCCCTTCTGCTGCTTGTGAGCTTGCGCTCTCTGTCTCAAAGGAAAAAATAAAACTCCAAGAAACAAACCAGAAGAAAGCTTTCTTTTTTTTTTTTTTAAATGTTTGTTTATTTTTGAGACAGAGACAGAGCATGGATGGGGAGGGTTAGAGAGAGGGAGACACAGAATGTGAAGCAGGCTCCAGGCTCCAAGCTGTCAGCACAGAGCCCAACACGGGGCTCGAACTCGAGGACCATGAGATCATGACCTGAGCCGAGGTCAGATGCTCAACCGACTGAGCCACCCAGGTGCCCCCAGGAGAAGGCTTTCTAAAGCAATACTTGTCTTTTTTTTTTTTTTTTTTTTTTTTTTACAATTCACATTGTCCATTCCCTGATCAAAAGACTAACTTTGCTTTCTCTTAGTAGTCCATTAAATTATAAAATAGGTGCAGATTGCCTTGTCTAATGCAGTCATTCTCATTGTGGTCCTCAATCAGCGGCATTAAGATCACCTGGGAACTGTTAGCAGTGTAAAATTTCAGGCCCTACCCAGACTTTTCCACTTAGAAACTGGAACATAAATCCAGCAGGCTATGGTTTAACAAGCACTCCAGGTGATTGCGATAAACTAAAGTCTGAGAACCACTAGTCTGAACTATATTTTAGACCAGAAGGACCTCAACTGTACAATATAGAGTGATGCTTCTATAGACTAATTCACATCTTGCTAGATTGTGGTATCACAAATAGAAATACCAGATAAACTAGTTCTGAAAGAGTTTGAATGTTATTAAAGGTACAGATGTAGCCAGTGGATGAACTGAGAATAGTAGAATATCTCATTTGAAAGAAAAAGGAAGGAATTTGATCTAAACCTTGGGGCACCTGGGTAGCTCAGTCAGTTGGGTGTCTGACTCTGGACTTTGGTTCAAGTCATGGTCTCCTGGTTCATGGGATTGAGCCCTGTGTCAGGCTGTCAGTGCTGTCAGCTTGGAGCCTGCTTGGAATTGTCTCCCTCTCTCTCTGTCCCTCCCCTACTTGTGCACGCATATGCATGCAATGTCTCAAAATATTTTTTAAAAATTGAACTAAACCTTTATTAGATGAGTTGTCATTGCCATCTTACCTATACAGCAGAATGTATGGAATATAGCAAGAGTAGCTAGCAGGTAATTGCCCTAAGATAGGTAAACTGAAAAAGTACCAAGAAACAGATCGTTAACATATGCAAACTCAGGAGTAAGATCTTCAGTCAATTAGAGTTAGCATTTACTAAAGAACTTGACTCTTAAATCACTTCGTCTACTTCTTAAAGAGTATAGTCATATTTGCCACTGATCTAGGTTAATGTCTTCCTTTTTTGTCAAGTACTTTTAGTTGTTGAAGTAGCCATGTAAAAATCACTTGACTAGAGGGGCGCCTGGGTGGCGCAGTCGGTTAAGCGTCCGACTTCAGCCAGGTCACGATCTCGCCGTCTGTGAGTTCGAGCCCCGCGTCAGGCTCTGAGCTGATGGCCCAGAGCCTGGAGCCTGTTTCCGATTCTGTGTCTCCCTCTCTCTCTGCCCCTCCCCCGTTCATGCTCTGTCTCTCTCTGTCCCAAAAATAAATAAACGTTGAAAAAAAAAAATAAAAAAAAATCACTTGACTAGAGAAGAAGCAATGTTTAAATAATCTCTTTGCAGGTACCAGCAACTTCAAGGTTTCTGCCAGTCCACTGTTGTATTCGCTTATTGAGAAGATGATGAAAGATGTGAGTGTATACCTAATTACAAAATCTATAACTTAATTTTCTCATTTACATAAAGTGAAAAGCATTGATGTTTAAACAATCATCATAAATAACCAAGTACAGGAATTTAGAATAAATTCTATAGTAGCATTATTTAGGTCATGCTCTTAGCTTATTTGCTCTCAGTCTATTGAACTGTGTGAGGTGAGGGTAAACTGCCCACTGGGGGTTGTCTACAGAGTCCTAATGCTAAGGAAGCTTTAAATTTTTTTTTTTTAATGTTTATTTATTTTTGAGACAGAGAGAGACAGAGCATGAACGGGGGAGGGCCAGAGAGAGAGGGAGACACAGATTCTGAAGCAGGCTCCAGGCTCTGAGCTGCCAGCACAGAGCCTGACGCGGGGCTCGAACTCATGGACTGTGAGATCATGACCTGAGCCAAAGTCGGACGCTTAACCGACTGAGCCACCCAGGTGCATGGAAGCTTTAAATGAACTTGAGAATGCCTAGCTGGCTCAGTTGGTAGAGCATGTGACCCTTGATCTAGGGATTGTGAGTTTAAGCCCCATGTTGGGTATGGCTTTAATTTTAAAAAATTAAAAATATGGGGCACCTGGGTGGCTCAGTTGGTTAAGTGACTGATTTCAGCTCAGGTCGTGATCTAACAGTTTATGAATTTGAGCCCCACGTCAGACTCTGTGCTGACAGCTCAGAGCTTAGAGCCTGCTTCAGATTCTGTGTCTCCCTCTCTCTGCCCCTCCCCCCACTCGAGCTCTGTCTCTCTCTCAAAAATAAATATTTAAAAAAATTAATGAACTATACCTAATACTTAAATAAGAAGGCCAGATGAAATATTCACTGGGTAAAAACAAACATGCAAATGACCGTGGTTTTGCAATAGGAAGGAATAAGATTTGGCTAATGGGCTTAGAGGCCATATATTGGAATCATTAAAGATGGAGGAAACAAGGGTCAGGAACTTGGCCTTGATCCTATGGGAAACTAGGAATTGCTATCGAGTTTCCAGCAAGGCAGTAATGTGCAGATTAGGCTGCAGTAGTATAAAATGTGCTAGAAGGAAAAAGCCAGAAATAAGGTAGGCATCGTGAAGGCTAGAAAGGGCTTTTAAAACTGTGCCACCTTTAAAATGGTTAAAGGAGGAAAACATTTTTTCTCTTGCTGTAACTAAAGGAACTGGCAGCATGAGCATAGGAGGAATAACTTTAGAAATTGGAGATTGTTTTAGCTGTCTTAAATTTTTTTCAAGAAGAAACAATAAAAAATTTTTTATAACTGTTTACAGATCGAAGTATGTTTGTGACTAGCCTGAATGTGTGCAGAAAGATTCATTTTAGTGACAAATTAATTTTTCCTTTTATAGGTGAAACACCCAGTTACTGGGCAGTCTCTTTATCGGGACAGCAATTGGATCAACAAAGTGTAAGTTGAGAAAAGTGAATGAACAACTAGTAGTAGAAAAGCAGAATCATCCAGTAGCCCCTGCTATGTTAGGTAGAGATCTAAACCTATCCTTGCAGTGAGCTTACCACCTATACAGTCATTTTAAGAATTTATTTGGGGATAGGGGTAGGGTTGCATGATAGCACAGGCTGTTCTTCAGAAAACCTAGAGACACATTCTTGCTTTCCTTGCAGTGAGAAATTTTCTTTGGATAATGCTGCTTTCCCTTTCCTTGCGTATTCTGGAATCCCAGCAGTTTCTTTCTGTTTTTGTGAGGTAAGTATGAAGAACTGTCAAGTTATATCTTAGCCCTTTCATCAGTTTTGAGACCAAATTTCCTAAAGTACTTGAAATGTTGTCAGAAGTTATACACCTGCAGTTATTACATGCTCCCTTATTATCAGTCTTAACGTGGAATTATTCTCAGCTTAATTAGCATTGGAATTTATTTGCTAAACCATCTTCACTTAGGTATGATGAGTTTTAATAACAAGGCTACCTACTGGACAGTGTGGGTATAGACTATTTCCACCAAATAGAAAGTTCAGCTGGACATTGCTGTTCTTGATACCTGTCGAAATACGGTTCTAGACGTTTGTCCAAAGATGTTAATCTCCTAAACCAGGTACAAGGTTGTTGTGACACAGAACTTTGAACTGACCAAGTTGTAGGAAAGCAAGATAGGCTTGTTTCAGGAGTCATCAGAAGGCCCTGAAAGCCACGATGAGTAAACAAAATGATGAAGGCTTCTGCGCTGAAGCTGGAAAGCCAGCCCTGTAGTGGGCTTTCCCAGGGCTGAAGAGATCCTAGAGTTAATGTAGGAGGTCAGGGTGGAAGCTGTTGACTTTGGCATCAAATTATTGATGCTCTGGAGGCCAGGTCCTCACAAGACTTCTTATCACTAAGTGTTTTGGCCTGGAACTAGGAGGGGAAAGGCTTGGAGCTAGGGAGTGATGTAAGATCTGGATTCAGAGATTAACATAGGTGGAACTCCCTTCACCTTCTGCTAGAACAGCAGTATGGATGGCATTGAAATAGCTGGTCACAGTATCTATTTAGTACATTAGGAAGAACTGGATGTCAGGTGCTACCGTTGTGGAGGTTTATGGATGATTTCTTTTGACCTCCAGAAGGTTTCTTAAAAACTTCTCAGATGTCAAAAACCTAGCAGGTAATACAGAAGTGTATAGTCTGAAAGTGAATAATTGAGGTCAGATCAAAGGATTGGCAGTGAAATTGTCACCAAGGACAAAGATAGGGAATAGAGTTGAAAAAGTAGTTACTTAAGTTGTCTAATCAAGGTGGAGAGAAGTTGTGAGCATCAGACATGTTTGTTAGAAAGGTAACATGTATGAATGGATCGAGTGCTGAATCATTAGGAAGAAGGTAAATTCAGGTCTAAGCGTGATGCTTTATATCAAAAGCACACTTCATACATGCTCTCTTCTTTCCTTATTTAATGAACCAAACTTCCCAGAGAAGAAAACAAGGATACAACCTCAAGAAATTCGGCTAGAAATCTTTTCAGGGTCTATGATGTGATGGGACAAAGATTCTATAGAATCTAGAAGAAAGTAGTCATTCAAGGAGTAGGTCAGATTCAGAGGAAATAACAAGAGTGATATTAAAGTAGTGGATGTGAGATAAAATTGGAGTAGGTATGTATTAGAAGCAAGGGATGAATTGCAACTGTTATCACCTTGAAGGGAAAATGAATGTGAGGTTCCTACTCTTATGACCCTCCTGTGAGTACATTAACCTAGCTTTGTTTTTCAGGACACAGATTATCCTTATTTGGGTACTACCATGGATGTCTATGAGAAACTCATTCAGAAAGTTCCTCAGTTGAACAAAATGGCACGTGCAGCAGCAGAAGTAGCTGGTCAGCTTATAATGAAACTTACCTATGATCTTGAATTGAACCTGAACTATGAGATGTATAATGACAAAATACTTTCATTTGTGAGGGATGTGAGCCGATTCAGAGCAGACATAAAAGTAAGTACTAATTAAAATCAGGTTCTTGTTGCTGAAATATCAAGCAATTATGATGTTTAGCTATTCCTGAGAAAGGACATGATGGGTAGCCAAAGTACATTTTAAGGGAACTGATATATCATTTTTCTTAGATTTTTAACTCATTTGAAAGTTGAGAGGTTGTGGGTTATAAATCTAGGATATACCACACTAGGTATTTCAGAGTCTAGAACTATGTTAACTTTTGTTAAGGTATGTTAAGTTTTTGTAATTCCAAGCAACCTGTGAAGAGAATCCAGAGAATACAAAGATCTCAACCATGACTTTGAAACTATGAGTTTGGGCCATATATCATATATGCCTTTCAGGGATGTCACAGCTAGAGAGAACACAGTCAGTAATTACAGTCCTACTTAGTGTTCATCCTACGTGCCTAGTATTCAAATACTTGATAAAACCAAATTAATAATGGGGCACCTGGTTGACTCAGTTGGTAGAGTGTGTGCCTTGATCTCAGGGTTGTAAGTTCGAGCCTCACGTTGGGTGTAGAGATTACTTAAAAGTAGAATCTTTTAAAAAATCAAATTAGTATTAATATGTGGCTTCTAACTGGTTTTATGGTACTAGAAGTCAATTTAACAGAGATCCCTTAAATGAAGCAAATCACTGATAAACAAATCTTAATGATTATGGCTTTCTTGAAACTTGAAACTAATTGTAACTGATCAGAAAGTGGGAATTGGGAGACAGATCACTAGACTCTGAAGTTCACTGAACCAAAATGTTTTCAAATTTTCCCCCATAGGGAAATTGAACTGGAAACAATATACTACACAGGATTATATATTAAGTTAATTATGTTAAATTTCTCCAGGAGGACGGCTTCCTTATGAGACTAGGAGTGGAAAATTGTGCCATCTCTTGGGCTCAAATATGAGCATACCACTCTATAGAGCTTGGGGCCTCCTGGGCAAGCTGCCTAAGTCTACCATTCTCTGCATCTTGAGCTTGTCCACAAGCCACCCCCTTTTACCAGAACCAACTCCCTTGCTATCACTAAATTAGAAAGGTATATAGTATAACATCCTTAGAAATACAACATCTACTAAAGAACGTAATGTCTCTCTGCTTCAGGAGATGGGTCTGAATCTACAGTGGCTGTATTCTGCTCGTGGAGACTTTTTCCGTGCCACCTCCAGACTGACAACAGATTATAGGAATGCTGAGAGAACAAACAGATTTATCATGAGGGACATCAATGACCGTATCATGAGAGTAAGTAAACTCCTAAAAATGGAAGAACTAAAGATTGTTAATTTTTAACTGGTGGGCCTTGCATTTCTAAAAAGCAGAGTAGTAACTCCAGGAGCCTAGCATCATTTGCTGCTTTAGAACTGAGCACAGATTTTTAACTCTTACTTATTAGCAAGATCTAGAACCAGTATATCTAAACTGGAAGTCCAAGAGACATTTGTCCCAGTATTAACCTTTTTTAAGTTTTAAGAAACATTTTTAAGAAGGAATCATTAATGATTTTTAGCTATCATTTTCTCTGTATTCCTCTTCTCTAATTCAGCCCTTAACTGCTTCTATCTTAATCTGCCTGGAAGAGGCAGAAGACTCGATTACAGTAGAAGCTTGTAAATTTTCCATGTATATGCTTCAACTAAAAAAAACCAATATAATTAGAGTTCACTTTTACAAAAGGATAGACTATACAAAAGGATTGATTGATTATAGTTTTAATGTTAGAAGATAAGTAGCCTGGTCCTCCACATTGCTAAATTGGGGGAATTTTCACATTTCAAGTGAGAAAATGGCCGTTGTTTTACTGTGTCAGGCCCTTACACCAAAAGTCCCAGCACGGTGTAAGTTCTCATGTATGTTTTGTTTCCGTAGGTGGAATATCACTTCCTCTCACCCTATGTATCTCCGAGAGAGTCTCCTTTCCGACATATCTTTTGGGGCACTGGCTCTCACACTCTGTCAGCATTACTAGAGCATCTGAAGCTGCGCCAGGAAAACATCAGTGCTTTTAATGAAACACTGTTTAGAAACCAGTTGGCTCTAACAACTTGGACTATTCAAGGGGCTGCAAATGCCCTCTCTGGTGACATTTGGGACATTGACAATGAGTTTTAAATGTGGTACCCATAACTTATATGAGAACAGCAGGGTAGTGTGATTTTTAGACTTGTGCTGGTTGTGCTAAATTTTTAGTAGGGCTACAAAACCTAATATTAAAATTCTACCCAGCCATCTTGGTACCACTAGATTTCTTTAGGCAGCAGCTTTTAATACAGGGTAGGTACCTGCACTTCAAGTTAAAGTGAATAACCACTTAAAAATGTTCATGATAGAATCTTTTCTCTGATTATCTCTAAAATTTTAAATGTGTTGTATGGTAACTGCCTCTTTCTTGTTAGAGTTATGACAAAGTCAGAACCAGTTACGTAAACTATTGCTCTAAATCCTAAGGACATGAACCGGTATCTTCTAAGTGCGAGGGAGGTGGTGTCTCCTGGACGCTGGAAGTGGTAGCTTAGTGGGATCCTCCACCTGCACTTGATGCTGGATAGGAGATACCAGGTTGTAAGACTTTATTCTCCAAATGAGATCTATGCCTTCCGTAAGGATTTAGCTGGTTTCCACATCCCTGAATGAAACAGTTAACTTTCAGAAGAGATGGGACTTGTTTTCTTGCCAGTGAGGTCTGAAACAGAGGTCCTTCCGCTAGATAAAGTGAGGTTCAACTGTTTATCACAGGAGTAAGGCCTTAATGTGTTAACCTCAAGATTATTTATGAAAAGAGGAGACCAGAAGCCAAAGACCTAGATTTTCTTTTCCTCTGCCCCTGCCCCATAAGCCTTTGTATTAGTTTTTTGTCGTCTTTGTGTTTCCCAAAGTATTTTGAAAGAAAACCAGCTTTAGGTGTTTAATTTCAAACTCAGTTTGTCAGACTTTAAAGAACACGCTGCCAAATTTTGGCCAAAGTGTTAATTTTTTGGAAAAGCTTTCTATCATTTTGGCACTGAGATATTTATTGTTTATTTATCAGTGACAGAGTTCACTATAAATGGTGTTTTTTTTATAGAAGATAATTATCGGAAGCAGTGCCTTCCATAATTATGACAGTTATACTGTCGTTTTTTTTTTAATAAAAGCAGCATCTGCTAATAAAACCCAACAGATACTGGAAGTTTTGCATTTATGGTCAACACTTGAGGGTTTTAAAAAACGGCCACACGCCAAATAAAATTATAAAGCTAAATATTGGTGAAGAATTCAATTGAATTAGGAGTTGCTAATCAAGTTAGAATTTTAGTCAACCAGATAAAAATGGCAGTTCTTAAAGGGAAGGAATTGTGACTAAGTTATACATTAATGTCACTTAAAGGCTGTGATACTCATACATGTGAAATTTTACGGCTCAATTTATCCAAGGTGTAACTTTAATTCGAATTTTGCAAAATTTCCAGTACCTTTGTCACAAACGTAACTCACATTATCGGGAGCAGTGTCTTCCATAATGTATAAAGAACAAGGTAGTTTTTGCCTACCACAGTGTCTATATCGGAGACAGTGATCTCCATATGTTACACTAAGGGTGTACGTAATTATCGGGAACAGTGTTTCCCATAATTTTCTTCATGCAATGACATCTTCAAAGCTTGAAGATCGTTAGTATCTAACATGTATTCCCAGCTCCCTATAATTCTCTTTTAGTTTTAGTTGCAGAAACATTTTATGGTCATTAAACATTTGGTGGGTGAATTCAACCACTATAAAATAAAATTACTTCATTCGAGAGTCTTTGTTTTTAAACCTAATGTAGTGTTTTATTATATTTGTGGTTTCTCCAGGTCTTCTGTTTAGTGGGATGGTAGTCCACATTTACAATGTTTGCTGTTGACAAATGAATTTAACTTTATCCCCTTATTTGCATGTCATGTCCTGGAAACTTAGTTCACACAAGTTTATATCCAGAATTGATCTTTTAGCTTAAATCAGGGGAAACTTGTATAGGAGACTCAGGGGGCTGGGGGAGTGAAATGTGTAGGGAAGCAAAGCTTGCAAAAGGATCCTTGATCATGTCTCCCTACCCGTTAGTATATGGTGGTTTTAAGTTAAACAGAGATGTGAACAAGTAAGTTTGAAGCTACATGAGTAAAGACTTTATTTTCTAGTCCACCATCATTATAAACCTGATAATCAGTTGTTTGTTATAGGGCAGTTCACCCTAAGAAACTGCCACCTAAGAAAAAGTCCATAGACTTAACGTCCCTTACCGAAGTTAACATAGGTCTAGATTATTACAGCCTCACTGAATTGTTTCACCTGCTCATGGTCTATTTAGTCTTCACGGTGTTTTATCTTGAACTGGTGTTTAGTGTAGCTAAGTGGAAAGGTCATAGCTGGGATTCCTGGTTTGGGTATCATGCTTTACCACACTTTAATGAAAGCTCAGTAACTTCAAGACATACTATGAATATGGGCATACATTTTACAGCAGTAGATCTCTTCAAATACCTCTTTTCTGTAGTGAGGATTGAGTTATTTCTAATCAAAAAAGCCAGTAAGTGGTAAGAGGCGTAATATTTCTGAATGAAATGTGTATCTGACTAGTGACAACCTGCTGGACTTCAGATTTTGTCTGGTTATAGATATCAGGTGCATTGTGAAGGTAAAGGATAAATGAGCTCTATCATGATTCACTATTCTATAACTTGCATGACCTTTACTGTGTTTCCTCTTTGAATGTTCTTGAAATTTTAGTTGGCTAAACATGGCTTATTAGACTTGCCAACCTACTGCTCATCGATATCTTTGTAAACAAATGATATGCCCTTATAATTGTGTCCAAACTGGTATGTGCAACAGTGTGGAAATTCCTTATCTGATTTAATAAAATGCTTGAACACGGAGTTGTCATTTTTTAAAAAATAGATTATATTGTTTTAGGGCATTTTTGGGTTCACAGCAAAATTGAGCGGAAAGTGTAGAGTTCCCATATACTCTTCTGCCTGCTCACCCGTGGCCCAGCTTCCCCCACTATCAGCATCTCCCAGCAGAGTAGTACACGTTACAATTGAACATACATCAACATATCGTTATCGCTGAAAGCCTATAGTTTACATAAAGTCCACTCTCAGTGTTGTATATTTTGTGAGTTTGAACAAATCTATAATGAAACATATCCACCATTTATAATACAATACTGAATGGTTTTATTGTCTTGAAAATCGTCTGTTCTCTGCCTCTTCATCTTCCTCTGCCTGATCTCTGGCAACCACTGATCTTTTTACAGTCTGTAGTTTTTGCCTTTTCCAGAATGTCACGTGGTTAGAATCATACAGTAGGCAGCCTTTTCAGATTGGCTTCTTTCACTTAGTAATATGCATTTAAGGCTTGATAGCTCACTTTTTTAAAAGTTTATTTATTTTGAAAGAGTGCGCACGCAAGATAGAGAATGAGTGGGGGAGGGGGAGAGACGGAGGGACAGAATCCTAAGCAGAATCCTAACCAAGCTCAAACTCACCAACAGATCATAACCTGAGCCTAGCAAGATCAAGAGTCAGATGCTTAACTGACTGAGCTACCCAGGTGCCCGATAGCTCACTTCTTCCTAGTGCTGAATTTTATTCCATTGTCTGGATGTAACTTAGTTTATTTATCCATTTATCTGGTGAAGGACCTCTTCATTGCTCCCAAATTTTGGCAACTATGAATAAAGCTGCTCTAAACAGTTTTTACGTGGGCAGGTGTTCAGTTCATTTGGGTAAAGACCAAGGAGTACAATTGCCGGATCACATGGAAATAGTATGCTTAGTTTTGTAAGAAATTTCCAAACTGTCTTCCAAAGTGGCTGTACGATGTGAATTCCTGTAGCAGTGAGTTCCTGTTGCTTCACATACTTGCCAGCATCTGGTGGTGTCCACTGTTTTGGATTTTGGCCATCCTAATAGGCGTGCGGTGATAATCTTGTTTTGATTTCCGTTTGTCCCATGACATGATGTTAAGCATCTTCGTATATGCTTATTTATCAGCGTATGTCTTTGGTGAGGTGTCTGTTCAAATCTTTTGCCCCTTTTTCTAGTTGGGTTGTTCATTGTTGAGTTCATGTTGCTTATTGTTGAGTTTTAAGAATTCCTTGTATATTTTGGATAACCATACCATCATTTGTCAGATACATGTTTTGCAAACATTTTTTCCCCAGTCTATGGTTTGTCTTCTCATTCTCTTGACAATGTCTTTTACAGAGCATGAGTTTATAAATTTTAATGAGGTCCAACTTAATTATTTCCTTCGTGAATCAAGCTTTTGGCATTTTATCTAAGTCACTGCCAAACCCAATGTCATCTAGATACTCTCCTGTGCTGTTTTTTAGTAGTTTTACAGTTTGGCATATTACATTCAGGTCTATGATCCATTTTGAATTCAGTTTTGTAAAGGGTATGTGGTCTGTGTCTAGATTCATTTTTTTGCATATGGATGTCCAATTGGTCATGAGTTTTTGTTAAGAATACTCTAGTAAGACTCTCCCCTCTGAAAACATGAGCTAAGTAATTTTAAATGTCCTTAAAAAAAATTTTTTTTTTAAATTAAAAAAAAAAAGGGGGGCGCCTGGGTGGCTCGGTCGGTTAAGCGTCGTGACTTCAGCTCAGGTCATGATCTCACGGTCCGTGAGTTCGAGCCCCGCGTCGGGCTCTGGGCTGATGGCTCAGAGCCTGGAGCCTGCTTCCGATTCTGTGTCTCCCTCTCTCTCTGCCCCTCCCCCGTTCATGCTCTCTCTCTGTCTCAAAAATAAATAAAAACGTTAAAAAAAAAAAAAGTCCTTATAGCTACATTAGAAAACTAAAAAGAAATATGTGAAAATTTTCTATATTTAACTCCATATATCCAAAATACTGTCATTTCAACCTGTATGCATTAAAATTACTGCCAAGATATTTTATACTCCTTCAGAGTTAAGTCTTCAAAATCCATTGTACTTCTAGCACATCTCAATTTGGAATACCCGCATTTCAAGTGCTCAATAGCTACTTACGGTGAGTGGACACTGCTGCTGTATAGCAAAAGGCATAATTGGTAGGGCTTGCTTGCTTGCTTTTTTTTTAATAGGCTTTCTGTGCAATTACCAAAACCATCATACGGTTTCATCTCATCACTACAAGTGCCAGCTGGGATCCTTCAGTATGATTGCAGGAATTGCAGCCCCTAGAATAGGGAGGCTTTTTAATTGCTTCACCTGTGTCCAAGCTTGCCCTTGTGAGAATTAGTAGCCACATGCATATCCTTGAGGAAGAAGCAAGACAGTAATGAAACTGCTTTGTTCTATAGAGGGGAAGTGCCTACATGAAAAGATGGTGAGTGAGGAGACAGGCCTAAACAAATATATTTGAAGACATCTGTTTATTTATAAGATACACTTCCCTTGGAATATAATACATCAGAATGGCTTCCTTACGGCTACCAATGGGTTTACTTTTTTAGGTGGTTCAGTCAGAGCCTTTACCATTTGCTACATCTAATGCATCTCACATGGATTTCTTTGACTAGTTAATACCTTTTTTGAAAATCTGTACATACTAATTAATGGTCAATGTACAGAACAGTCTGATTGAAAACTTTTTCTTCTTGTTTTTCACAATTTCTCCCTCTTTCCACAGTCACCAGTTTCCTGCGTATACTTTCAAAGTAGTCTCTGCATAAGTGAGAATGTCCATGAAACCTTGATAAAAGCATACACGGGAGGGTGGTTGTTGGTTCCACTATCACAATGGAAATCCCTGCAACCCAACCCTCCGACTGCTTACAGTGATAAACTGGTTAAAATAGAAAAAATTCTCTCTCCCTGCCCCTCCCCCACTCTCAAAAATAAATAAATAAAACTTAAAAAAAGAGAAGGGGAGGTGCCTGGGTGCCTAAGCATCAGACTCTTGATTTTAGCTCGGGTCATGATCTCACTGTGAGATTGAGCTCCATGGGCTCCACGCTGATAGCGCAGAGCCTGATGGGGATTCTCTCTCTCCCTCTTTCTCTGCCCCTCCCTTGCTCCTGCACCTGGGCTCTCTCTCTCAAAAATAAAACTGGGGCACCTGGGTGGCTCGGTCGGTTGGGCATCCAACTTCAACTCAGGTTATGGTCTCAGAGTTCGTGAGTTTGAGCCCTGCGTCGGGCTCTGTGCTGACAGCTCAGAGCCTGGAGCCTGCTTAGGATTCTGTGTCTCCCTCTCTCTCTACCCCTACCCCCCTCACACTGTCTTTGTCTTAAAAATAAACATTAAAAATTTTTTTAATAAACCTTTTTTAAAAATAGAAAAAAAACAAGAAAACCACCCAGGGACTTTATAAAGTAAATAAAAGCAAACAGACTGGAGGGTAGTAAAACCTGAAGTGTTTGACAAGAACAAAAAGAAGAGACAAAAAACTAATAGAATAATGGTATGCCAGAGTTCATTATTGACCTATTAACATTCTAATTAAAAGTCTGTTAGTGGGTTAGGGGGAAAAAAAGCTCATTCATATGCTGCCTGTAAGAAACACTTTATTTTTATTTTTTAAGATACTTGTTTTTGGGAGAGCACAAGTGGGGGAGGGATAGAGAGAGGGGGACAGAGTCCCCCTTCATGCTGACAGGCTTCATGCTGACAGGCTTGATGGCAGTGAACCTGATGTGGGGCTCAAACTCACGAACTGTGAGATCATGACCCGAGCCAAAGCCGGAATGAGTTTAAGGTTAAAAGATGGAAAAAAATAGAATAGGCAAATTAGCATAAGACTAGAGTGGCTATATAAATACCAGGTAAAACAGACTTCAATACAGAGATTATTACCATGGATAAAAATTAGGAACATTTCATAATGATAAAAGGAACAATTCATTAAAAAGATAGTACAAGTATAAATGTGTATGTGCCTAATAGCCTTAAAATACGTGAATAAAACGTTTAAAGAATTGAAGGAAGTAACTGACAATTTTGCCATAGTAGATTTTTTAAAAATTAAAAAAGAATTTTTTAAATAGGCTCCATGCCGTATGTGGGGCTTGAACTCATGACTCTGAGATCAAGCGTCACATGCTCTGCTGACTGAGCCAGCCAGGCACCCCACTGTAGTAAATTTTAAACACCCACTTAGTAGTCAATAGACAAATCAGGACAAAAGATTTGAACCACTTTATCAGCCACCTCAATCTACTTGACATTTATAGAATGCTACGTCCAACAACTGCAAAACACATTTTTTTAGGTACGCATGGCACATGCATCAAGATCCAACGTATTCTGGGCTGTAAAACAAGTGTCAATGGAAGTATTGAAATTATACATAGTGTATTCTCTGACCACAGTGGAGCAAGAAATCAATGACAAGATATCCAGAAAACCCCCAAAACATCAGGAAATTAAGCCACGTTTTTTAAAGTAATTGATGGGCCAAAGATGAAATCACAAGAGAAGTTAGACAAATTTGAACTTCATGATAATTACGATATAAAGTATGCGGATGCGGTAAAGCAGTAGAGATGCGCTGCTCACTACAGTAGCCGCCAGCCACACATGATCAAATTTAAATTAATTAGAATTAAAGGTTCCAAATCCTGGGGCACCTGGGTGGCTCAGTCCATTGAATGTCTGACTTTGGCTCAGGTCATGATCTCGCAGTTTGTGAGTTTGAGCCCCACATCAGGCTTGCTGCTGTCAGCCTGTCAGTGCAGAGCCTACTTCAGATCCTCTGTACCCCCTGCCCCTCCCCTACGTGCACTCTCAAAAAATAAAAACATTTTTTAAAAATCTAAAAAAAGGTTCAAATTCCTCAGATACACTGACCACATTTCAAGTGCCCAGTAGCTACACATGGCTAGTGGCTACTGTATCGGACAGCAGAAAATCGAATATTTCCATCACTGCAGAAAGTTCTATTAG